TTTTATATTTATATTTATATGGGACACGTGAAACTTAAATTTATATTATTTGTTGTGAGTCATATGCTTTATATAATAGGCGTGACATACAGTTTCATTCAGGCTGACTGACTCCGATATATTAGTAACTAAACAGCAAAGACAAAATAAAAAATATTAATAAATAAAAAATAATAATAAAGGACTAGTAAATCAAAGAGAGAAAGAGACTAAAAAAAAATATTTAAAAAATTACAATTTACAATTATTAATTAATCTACAGAGCCTGAAAAGTTTATTTAACAACTATACTTAAAATTTGCAAAGCCCTATATATTTAAGGTATATCTAGTAAATCATTTTTGCAAAATGCCTTTAGAATTTGGGCTTTCTATGAGACGCTATTTTATAGTTTTTTGTTTGCAGATTCATCAGATGAATTTCAAGTATTGTGAATATCCTTCGAAACGAATATACCCATTTGCTTCTCCAACAAATAGCAGCGCAATGGCAGGCCCGGCCTTTAAATACCGCATAATGAAGGCCCACAGGAAGAGTCTGACAATTTGCCATCCTGTCTGTGGCAGGTGTCGAAATTGACAGATGAGCACAAAGTGCGCTCGAATAGTTAATAGCAATCTGATGGCCAGCGGAAGTGTTGAGGCGCGCTCTGAAAACTGGGCGTGGCAAGTGAAAGAAAAAAAAAATGACACAAGATGCGGGACACAGGGCGGTAGGACAGACGGACAGGCGCTTGTCTGCGGCTGTTGCTGCTCTTCGACTTCAATTTAAATTTTAATCGCTAAGACAAACTTCCGATCACGTTGTAAGTCTGGCTGCAAAATTACAAAAGGCAGGCCAAGACACAGGCTAAAAAAAGGGTCTACAAACTAGCCAGCAGGCGAGATAGGTAGACAAACAGAGAGTGAGTGAGAGAGATGGAGAGGGACAAAAACTTAATGGAGGCAAATGCATCAAAATGGTTAATTGGATCTGGAACAGTAAATGACGAACACTTTTAGTGTTTATGGCAGTAGCCAAAGCCAAGCCGGGCTAGAAAGAGCCCGCTGCATACATCTGCGTTTGTGTGTGTGCGTGAGTGTGTGTGAGTACGAGTTGCTGCTGCAAAAACTTGGACGCAAGTGCGCACAGCTCAAGTGGCTTGCAGCGTGTTGTACACGACACGCATTAGCGTGAATAAAGTAGTTTGTTGTTGTTGTTGTTGTTGTTGTTGTTGTTGTTGCAACTTTGGCCGACTAACTTGTTGCCTGAACGAACCGAATGCGTGGCATACGTTATTTGAATGAATTAATTTCTTTGGCCATGAAAACCCCATCCAATAAAGCACTTAATGCCTGTAAAATACTACCCATCTCTCTCTCTCTCTCTCTAACTCTCTCCGGTCTCTCGCTCACTCAACAATCGCCTAGCAACTTTTCATTGATATATTGATTCAACAAAACGAAAATTTCAACAAGCTACTCTCAGTTAGCGCATTTCGGGCCATGGATTTGGATTGTAAGTGCGACAGCTAAATGAAATATTCAATACAAATTTCATTACAATTTAATAAAAATTTGCCAGTTAACAACGATTTGGAGAAGCGCATCTCGGATGCCTTCTGCGTGTTCGATCATCATGGCGATAAGCTCATCGATGTGCGAGAGGTGGGCACAGTGCTGAGATTGTTGGGCTGCGTCCCCACCGAGCAGGAGGTCAACGAGGTAATCTCGGCAACCGAAACGGAGGAGACGAGCGGCGTGGTGCATTTGACCAAATTCTTGCCACACGTCTCGCAATTGCTCATGGAGCGCAAGTCAGTTTGATGGCAATAGAAATATAAAATAAACAATAAAAGAAACTGATTAACATTTAATTAGAATGGAGCCAGCGCCGCCAGAGAAGATTCTGGAAGCTTTCAAGACGTTGGACTTGGAGAACAAGGGCTACCTGACCAAGGAGAACTTTGGCAAGCTGATGATGGAGGAGGGCGAGCCGTTTACCCAGGAGGAAATGGATGAAATGTGGCCAGTGGCCATAGATCCTATAAGCGGCCATATACCCTATGAATTGTATTTGAATCAGTTGATGGTGAGAGCGAAAAGAAAGGAAATGATTCCAGAAGAAATTCTTAATACCATCTATTTTTCTTATATTTTCAGGTATATCTCTGAGAACATTTGAAAGAAATTTAAAAAAAAAAAAAAAAAAAAATTGTTAACTAAACTTTAGTACAAAATTTGAAATTATTCAAAATGTTAAAATTTTTCTTTTTATTTATTCTATATTTTCAGGCATATCTTTGAGAAAATATGAGAAAAAAAAATGAAATTAATTTAAGAAAGCTTAGAAACAACTGAAGCAAAACTGAATTAAAATACAATAATTAATAATAAAAAATAAAATGCATTTTGCTTTTTTAAAGGAGATAGACTGATGGATTGTGGCGCAATATATGTATTACCATACATGTTTTTTGTCAGTGTATTTTTATAAGCTAATGCACTCCCCAGTGCGTGGCTCGTTTTAGCCACTTCGGCTTCGCATTAGCCACTCACACAGAGCGCGAGAGGGAGACAGGGAAAGCTAACTAACCAGCGAGCCAAATGCGTTTCAAAATCGCAAACTGAGTCCACAAGCCCAGCACAGAAATGAGGAGAGCACAGGATACAGCTGGGCAGAGCAGCCAGCTAAGTAGAAGGTGCTGCTGGCCAGCCATGGATGGCCTGCTGGCTGGTGTGGAACGCGGCAAAGTGGGTTGCGCATCATTAGCACAACTAATGGATGTTCACTTTTCTTTGGCCAAAGTCGCAAACGGGCAGCCGCAGCAAAAGTCGTGTACGCCTCAACGCGTCTCGCTCCGACTCGCCTCGACTCGCTTTGCTTTGGCCAAAAGGATGTCTGTCTGTCCAGCTTCTAAGCTGGAGTGTCTGTAAATTGCTGTTGGTAATATGAGCGGCTAGAAAATTTAAATAAATTAAAATAGCTCTTTGGCAGCATCAAGACTGAGTGACTCTCTCTCTCTGTGTGCATACTATTGGCAAGGACTGTGCGCTCGCTCGTATGCGTCAAAAAGGCCGTCCGTTGCCTGAGTCGTGTTCGAATCGTGTTCTCGCTTCCGTATTTATTAAATACTAAATACACGCTGATGGATGCACTTAACTGCAACTCTCTGCCCCTGCCACACGCCGCATCCCTCGGCCGCTCCTCTCGATCTGTCTCGCTTTGGATTAAAATATTTCATGTAATTCAGCCATTCGTGCGGCTGCCATCTGCACGTTCCGGCGCTTTGGCCAATTTGAGTGATTGCATTGCGCGCATTTAAATCGCTGCCATGTTCAAAGATTCTTTCATTACTTTTTTTTCGGTTTTTTTTTAATGTTTGTGGCTGTGGCCAGTTAGTCCACTCGCCCCCTTCTTGGCGCTGCCGCCTCGCACTCTATCTAAACAAGTTCTACGTGCGGCACGCCTAATGGACTTTTAATCTGTACAACTCGTACAACAAAATTCAGCTTTTTTGAATCGCATGCGTATGCAGCTGATTGCGAATTGTCAGCGCCATAAAAAGAAAGTAGAACTAAATAACAATAAAGTCAGCTTCTGCAAACTTTTTGACATCCCATGCCAATGGGATCAACTGCCATAAAGTCTGATGGATTAACCCACTGATAGCCATTGAATGTTGGTCAATTGTAGTTTTATGGATATGGAGCTCACTCCTCTGAAGTGACCATATTTTAAGCAATTATAGAGGTCAGTTATAGAAATATAGAGATGCAATTCTTAAAGTTCAGCCATTTTTCAGTACAAAGATTTATAGCTATTGGCCCAATAAAATATTTTAAAATATTAATAACTTTTTAAATATATTTTACAAAAACCATTTAGACAAACTAAATATTTGCTATATACTCTTGAGATTTTTTTATGTGATCAAAGTCGTACAAATTTAATTTATATAAATACTTAAGAATCATATAAAGCGTATGCTATAAATCTATATATAAGAGAGGTAGGCTTTTCAACGGAGATATTTATATTATGTGTAATATATAATAATTAAAAACATAATTTTCCATTTTCATTTATAAAAATATTT